GGGGGGGGGGGGGAGACAGGGGGGGGGGGGGGGGGGGGTGGGGGGGGGGGGTGGTGGCGGGGGAGGACGTTGTGGAGAGAGTGGGAGCACGGGCGGACGCTGAGGCTGTGCAGGGTGGGCGAGAGGCAACGGATGTTCATGTGGAGGGCTTGCAACAGGCGGTGGATGAGGCTGTGCAGGCAGGACGGCGACGAGACGAGGGTGTGGGTGACGCACGATGTGTGGTCCAGGAGACAGCGACGGGTCCAGTCGTTCCGTTCTCGGGCCTGCACTTGGCTAGTCGCAGCCGGTGCCGGTGGCAGTGCATGGTGTGCCGCCGCCCGTTATCACGGATTTGGGGTCCGAGCCGGTGGTTGCGCCACCTCGTCTTCCTAGTCACTTTGCTCCGCAGGAGGTCCGTCGTCTTTTGGATGCAGACGAGTTGGCGAGAGAGGCTGTCCGCGATGTGACTCGCTTGGACCGGCGGGTCTTTGACCAGAGGCTACAACATCCACCATGGCAGGCGATCCCTCCAGTTCCATGGGGTCCTGCACCGCCGGTGTGGTCTGGGTCTACCTCCACCGGAGCACGTACGGCGGGAGATGTTCCAGGGGKTTCAGGKGGCGTCGTGGAGACGGCGCCACGTACACGAGACATGCCACCCCCTCCTCCTAGACCACCTGTAGGTGATCCGTCATCGTCGCCCATAGGCAGAGGCTCTCGATCTCCACACACGCCTGGGAGGTCTAGGATTCGGGACACTACAGCCGTTGTGAGGGACGTGAGTGACACAGCGTTGTTCGGGAGGACAGACATAGATTTGGATTCCACCCGCCGTGTCACGGAGCACACTGCACGTCTACAGCCGGGTTTGGGACCCCGCGGCGGTAGGATGACCGCAGCGAGGGAGGTGGCAGCATCAGGTTGTGAGCCTCAGCGAGGTCGCGGCAGAGGAGTGTCCGCCGATAGCTTGGAGTACGCTCTGATAGCAGCGACGCGTGCCGTACATGAGCAGACTCCACGCAAGCGCGGAGTGCCTCCTCGTCCACGCCCCGTGCCCGCACAGGGAGGAGATGCATTTGGAGAGACTTCGGGGGCAGAGGGGTTGGGGATGCCTCGTGGATCGCGCCGTGAGCAGACGGTTACAAAGGCTAGTGTGAGGGTTGTTGTGTTGAGGAAGGCAGGAACCCTTGTCACCATCGAGGAGGATGATCCTGAGACAGATGTGGCAGTGCGGGAGGAGGACGAGGACTATGAGGGCGAGGAGGAGGGAGAGGAGGAGAGCGAGAGAGGTTCCGATGGTGACTACGACCACGACGAGTACGAGCCCCACCTCCCCCACCGAAAGGTGCAGCCAGACGGCACGCTGCGCAGACTTCTTCATCATCACGAGGGAGGAGGAGTTCAACATCCGGCACGCGAGGGGGTACGAGGAGACAGAGGGGGAAGGGGAAGAAGCGTCGTTGACTGATGAGGCCAACACTCCTTTTTCCCCTGCTCGCACTGCGGTTCGTCATGTTGTGAGGTCCTAGTTTTTTTGGTCGTCTCGTCTTGTCTTAGTGTTGTTAGGATCCCAGTGGTTGTGTGCGTGCAGCGTGCTACATATGTATTAGATGATGTTTCCTTTGTTTTCGGTGTGTATGATTTTGGTACCAGTATGGTGTTCGTAGAGTAGCGTTGGACCAGTAGGGTGTTCGCAGAGTAGCTACGACACGACTTGTACACTACAGTTTCGTTTGTTTTTTTTCGACATGTGGTACCACTGCCTTAGCAGTAGCCTGTAGGATACRTTGCATATGTTGCATTTTTCATTTCTGTTTTCAGTGACAGGTACTTTGCGTCGTTAAGGACTTTTCATGCACAATACATTTTCCATGTACAGTTTCAGTTTCGATTGATGCTCGTTGTGGTCGGCGTGCGCGACCTTTCGTGACCATTTTCATCTGGTGTGATTTTATATATTTCATTGTTGTTATCATTTGCAATCTCATTTCCTGCGTTTGACGCCGTTTGTTTCTTGTACAATTCTACTTTAGTTTTTTGCCTGAAGAGTTGCTTGTGTGGTTGTTCTTTTTTGTTTTCTTTTCTGTGTTGATTGTTGAATCAAATTATCATTGTACGAAGTACTAACTGATATTTGGGGGGGGAGGGGTTGGATGCAAACTGGTAAA